CCTCCTCCTCCTCCTCCTCTTCCTCGCCTTCCTCCTCCTCCTCCTCCTCCTCCTTCTCCCCCTCCCTCTCCTGCCAGCGAGTGGATATCAGCGAATTCCTGCGAATTCCTCCTCCCTCTCTATCCCTTCCCGCTGACAATGGACGAGGGGGGAGGGGGGGAGAGCAGGAAACTCCATCCCGGCCAGGGACCGATGGAGGCCCTTGAATGGTCAGCTCGCGGCGAGCCCCCCCCGTGCGAAACCACGACAGCAGCGAAACGCAGACGCTGCGGGTACACCCGCGCTGGCGTGGCGAATCTGGCGTGTCCGTGTGAAACGCAAGAGGATGGGGAGGAGGAGGAGGAGGAGGATGGATGGATGGATGGATGGACTCGGCATTGCGCTGTGAGTCTGAAGACACTCACCCCTCGAGCTCACGAAACGAGAGATCGCTCGGGGACGCCTCTGAGCAGTCGTGCGATCTCCTCGGACCGAACGAGGTCAGGCGTGTGGGCGCGCCGCGCAACTGTGATCACCTTTGATCAGAGCCGAGCAGGACAGGAAACAGGAAGACGCCGGCGGGCGGGGGGTGATACCCCTCTGGCCCCTGGGGGCCGAGCTCGACGGCGCGGAGAGCACCGAGCAGGCTCTCTGGACACCCAGAGGCCCCGAGAAGGAAAAACAACCAGGCCGAAGAAAAGAGCCGACGGCGCGCCCTAGAGACCAGGGGCGGCGAGAGCGACTAGAGGGGCCTGGTGCTACAGCGAAGCTACTGGAGGGACTCACGTCGTCACGTAGTGTGCTGGTCGCCCATCTCTTTCCGTAGGATCCGCCACCCATGTCGGCCCTTCTGGCCGTAGTGGATCTGGCGGCTCTTGTCTAGCAGTTTCTGGGCCATCGATTCCAGGTGGCCCAGAGGGGCCGTCCCCATCTTCTGGCGGCCGCCCAGAACGTCGAGGCATGTCTCCCGAGGGCCGTCTGGGTTGACGCTCTTCAGTGTGTTCTGGTCCGCGCTAGCGAACTGCATCCTGGTGTACTGGTCGTTGTGGCGCGTGCGCAGCCTGAGGTGGAGCAGAGCCCCGAGCCCGTCCCCATGCAAACAAACTGCTGGTAGAAGGTACGCGGGAGCACGTGCCCCTGCGGGGCCTCCTGCTCCACGGAGGCCGACGGGTACTTGAACTCGGCGTGAGCGGTGTACAAATGTGGTGAGTTGGGGCTTCGCCTCGGGGACCTGCTCCGCCTCTGCGTACATCTTGCCCGCTTCCCGAGCTGCGACGATCGAAGTAGCCGTGGGCGGGGTCACGATGCTGATCCATTCCGAGGCCGCGAGGTCCCTGAGCTGCTGGGCGTGCTGGCGCGCCACCTTGGGGAGGAACGTGACCGCCTGCTGCAGGTCGCGCGACTTCAGGGCGCCCTCCAGACGAAGCATGATCGTGTCGTAGTCCCAGGTGTGCAGAGCGTGGGCCTCGAAGATGTCGCCCGCGTAGACAGAGCGGTGGTCTCGATCGTACAATGTGTTGAGGCGGCCTCCTGCTCCCATGGGGGGCCTTGCACTTGCACGGGGCGTGGAGGAAGTCGATCCTGCGTGACCGTCCGTGCGCCCCGATGAAGGTGCCCCCGCTGACAAAGAAGGTGTCGTGGTCCGAGAGGAACCGTTGCCAAAGACGTCCAGAAAAGCCCTCCAGCTCCAGGAAGGGGCCCACGGCGCTGTCGACCTCGCTCCACAAGTCGGGCTCGAGCAGGGACGGGGGGCCGAGAAACGTCTCGTCCACGGAGTCGCCGAGCTGAGGTCCGCCCCGCTGAAGGGCGCGCGTCGACTGCCCACAGACTCCAGCGTGGTGCGTGCCCACGAGATCATAGCCTGGGTCACCTGGCGGTATGAGTTGCGGCTGGAGCAGGACTCGGATGGCACGGAAAGGTGCCGAACCATGAGGAGCACGTCCGAGGAGCGGCACTGTCGCGCCGCAGCGGCCCGAGAGCGCCGCGGGCGGAGGGTAGATCCGACGTAGGTGTGCCTGCGGAAACCGCTGATGTAGGAAGCTGCTCCCCCCGCAACTCTTGTTGGTCCAGCCGAAGGAGAGCTCCCAGTGGTAGTCGTGCTGAAAGAGGCTGTGGCGGCCGACCAGTGTCGGGCGGCGGCTCGTCCCAGGGAAGAGGATCACGCCCATGTAGTGCTCGCAGGTGATCTCCTGCGCGCGGGTGCTGCCCGTCAGGTAGAGAGGGTTGTACACGTAGAACCTGGTGTGCTGAGCAGGTTGAGGCTCTCGCTCCTGAGTGCGTCCAGGGGCGCGGCAAGCGCCTGTCGACATGTAGGCGGCCGCCCGCGGCGAGAAGCCGACGGCCGCGAGCAAGAGGAGAGCCTCCATCATAGGCCTCTTGGGCCCCGCGGGCGCGTGGGCATCGCGCGCTGCTCCCCTGGCGGGCGATGAAACAGGGTGGGAGGGCCGCGTGTTCCTCGACCTTCAGCCGTGGCGGCGGCTAGGAGGAGGAGGAGGAGGAGGAGGAGGAGGAGGAGGAGGAGGAGGAAGAGGACGAGGAGGAAGAGGAGGAAGATGAGGAGGAGGAGGAGGAGGAGGAGGAGCAATCGGCAGGCAAGGGCGGCATGGCTAACCCCTGGGCGGCGCTCGTGCTGGCACTGCGGCTCGCGGTGGTGCTGGTCATGTTCGCTGGTTGCTCTTGCTGGCCACTGGAGTGGCGGTCGCTGTGGCGTTCTTCGCGGCACTGGCGGTACTGTGCGGCGCCGGACTTGTCTCTGGAACCGCGTGGCCAGCTGGTGGCACCCGTAGCGGATGACCTCGGTCGTTCTGCCAAGGCCACGTCGTGACCTCAAGAGCGGAAGCACGCCGCGTCGGCGTCGCCAGGGCGCCCTCCCGTCTCGAGCTCGACTGGGATGAGCAACTCTCTCTTCGGCGGGTGCTGGCCGCGTGGCGCCCTCCGCTATACTGGCGGCGACGCCGTCCGTGTTTGAAGGGGCCCTGGGACACACAGGCAAATACACACAAACAAAAAGATCCCCCACACTTTCTCGTATTTTCTGGGTGTCCGTCTTTCCCCCCGCTTCCCATACAGGCCTCGGAACAAGTTAGCGAACACTCATGCCACATTCATCTGTCAACGCCTCCCCCTCCCCCCAATGTTCCAAGTTGGCGGTGGGTCTGATGAGATGCTCTTCGACCGCAGTCTCCCCCGCGCGTGCCAACGTTGAGTTTTTGTTTTTTGGGGGGGGGAGGGAGTGTGTTCAGTAATTGCTTCCCTCGACCGTATTTTCGCACATCTTCCTGGGGATCGACGCCGACTTGTGCCTGTGTGCTTTTTTCCCTCTGGAGTGCTGGGGGGTGTCTGCCGGCGGGCCGCGCTGCCGCGGCGCGCACGGGTCACGCTCGCTTCCCCCTGAAGGACGGCCTGCTCGGGCACCGCGTCGCGGGGTGGCGACGTTGAGCTGCGCCTCCTCGTGGCGCCCAGTCTGCAGGCTCACCTAATCTTGAGTCGGGCGTGTCCCCCTCCAGGGGGACTTTGCGCGAAGAATGGAGAATACTCAAAACATTCCCCCCCCACATGGGCCAACGTAGTCAAAACATCGTTCCCGGACCATTTTTCCACTCTTCTGGAATCTTCCTCCTGTGGAGGGACAGGCCCGACTCAAACCGAATCGCAAGCAGCGACCCTCGGTCCCTTCGCAGGCGCGAATCCTGTGATCCGCGGGCGGCGGCTGGCACAGGAGCCCCGGAGGCCATTCTGCTTGCCGCTGCGGTGCGGGCTCCACCACGGGCAGCTCGGGGCGCGCCGCCCGGGAAGGTCCCCGGCGCCCCCCCGCCGAGGGGCCTGGCGGCCTTGTGGAGATTGCAGGCTGCCCTTGTTGGAGGCCTGGAAATGGGCACCAACACCGAAACAGGGGGTTGCCTCCACAGGGGGAAGATAATCCTAGATTTCGGTGTTGGTGGTAATATTTCGGTCGCCTTGGAAGCCAGAATATTACCACCATCACCGAAATTGGGATCTTCTTCCCTCGGTGGAGGCACACCGCCGATATTGGTGTTGGTGTCAATCTCTAGGCCTGCGACCTTGGCGGGCACGCGGGTAGACGCAGCCTGTCCGCGAGGGTGATGCGGAAGTGCGCGTCCACCGTTTCGGGCGGACGTGTCTCCATCCCGGACGACGGGCGGCTCCAAGACCGACCCCCCCCCCGCGCCAGGGCCGCCCGCCGAGGGCCGGCCCCGTCGCTGGCCTCCCGGGAGGCCGGCACCCTCTCGCGGTCCCTGCCGCGGAGGTCGCCCGCCCGCTTGCCTTGCATCCCGTGGAGGGGGTTCGCCCACACAGCCAGTCCAGGAGGAGGAGGAGGAGGAGGAGGAGGAGGAGGAGGAGGAGGAGGAGGCAGAGGAGGAGGAGGAGGAGGAGGAGGAGGAGGAGGAGGAGGAGGAAGAGGAGGATCTAACAAGAGAGAGGGAGAGAGAGATTACCTACAGCATGCAGACAAGACATCACGCATCACGGCATCAGACAGTGCGCTTGGCACTGCCACGAAGCCGAACAGATCTACCGCGCGGCTCAGAGGCCTCAGACGGGCGGAAGGAGTTCGAAGCAAACTTGAACCCAGCGTTTCTACGAGGGGCCAGCCAAGTAGTCGCCACCGCCTGGCAAGCCTTCCACCAGTCCGCCCCGCTGGCGGTACAGCGTCGGACGGGAACTGTTCCTCGCATACCTCCGCGGGGCTCGACACAGGCATCCTCGGCATGATCATCTTGGCGACGATAGCCTGGCAGAGAAGGTTCATCAGGTTGAAGACCAGATTCACCAGGAAGGTCTTCATCATGAAACTGAGGATCGCCATCGGGCCGACCAGGAGGATGACCGAGTTCGGCAGGGACGTCATCACAATCGGCACGAGCACCTGCATCACCTCCGCGAGGCTCAACACAGGCAACCTCGGCCAGACGTAAATCGGCCAAGCGCCAGCCCGCTTCCAGACCGTCCACAAAAGGCGGCAGCCTGTCGGTGCGGCAGCGGCAGCCTCGGCTGGGCAGTCATCCCCCGTGGGGGCCATTCACCTGCGGCAGCGGAGGCCCGCCCACGCCCAGCGCCTCGTCGACGCCTTGCACCGCCCGCTCGCGGCACGAAAACACCACGGCACCGCACGAGCATGGGAAGCCAGGCGGGGGCGGCAGCGCAACCCAGCGGCCCGCGGCGGGGACGAAGGCCTCGGCGTCGGCGCGCAATGCCGACGGCCTGGACGCCGTCGCAACAGCCGCCACGGAAGGCCCAGTGGCCGACCCGCCCGAGCCAGCGGACTTCTCCAGCCTAGGGCCCTCCTCGGCGATCCGCAGCTCTTGGGCCCAAGCGGTGGGCACAGAGATCCCGTCCGCCTTCGCGCGCAGAGCTGCGTGACCGGCGCGCACCTTCGCCTGCAGGTCCGGCACAACCGCGAGGATCCGCTCAACGATCTCAGGCCCCGCATCAAAGAGCTTTGCAAGCATGCCGATCACCTGCGAATGCTGGTGGCGGGAAGCCTGCAACTCGTCTTTCAACTTGAACACCGATCGATCTGCGGAGGCACGCGCACCCGCCGCGCCCCGCAGTGCCCCACGAAGGGAGTCTACCGCAGCCACCATGCTCGCACCGCCCGACGCCCAGGGGGTTCGAGCCAGCTTGCGCCAAAATGGCTACGGACGAGAGAAGGAGAAGACGAGGAGAGGACGGGAGGAGAGGAAGCCAAGCATGAAATGGCAAGCAAAAAGAAGCGGGCAAAAAGAAGCGAGCAGCCATATAGGCACTGGAATATATGCATTGGCATAGGCATAGGAATCCATACGACTCATCGGAATCCATAGGAATCCATAGAACTCGCCATTGGAAATAGCTGGGGGGGGGGCCACTCGGAAAAGGGGGTGAGAGGGGAAAGCCATTGGAAAACGGGGGGGGGTGCTAAAGACCAACTACTTATGATGAGCTAGGACTCCTATAGGGCAAGCCTATTTGGATAATCGGTGCTAATATTATTCGTATTCGTAGTGGCTGTTAGTATTAGCCTTGTTTCTAAATATTTTCTGATTCGTATGTTTGTTATTATGTGTATATATGTTGTTTAAATATGTATATTCTTCTTGGTATTAATCGTATTAGTGTTTGTTGTTATGAATACTTTGATTACTACTACTATGATTCGTCGTAACATTATTCTTCCTATTCTGATTATTTGTCCTCCTCCTCCTCCTCCTCCTCCTCCTCCTCCTCCTCCGTGCAATCCTCCTCCTCGTAATCCTCTTCCTCCTCCTCCTCCTCCCCCTCCCCCCCCCCTCCCCTCCCTGCTCCCTCCTCTCTCTCCTCCTCCTCCTCCCTCCTCCCTCCTCCTCCACCTCCTCCTCCCCCTCCTCCTCCTCCTCCTCCTCCTACCTCCTCCTCCCTCCCTCCTCCCCCCTCCTCCCTCCCTCATCCTCCTCCTCCTCCTCCACCCCCCTCCTTCCCTCCTCCTCCCTCCCCTCCTCCTCCTCCTCTCCTCCTCCCATGGGGCCCAGGGGCCGCGTCCCGTGACAGCACCGCCTCCGTGAAGACGAGGGCGTCGCCCGCTGCGGCGTGCACGGCTCGTGAGGGCTGTGCAGTCGGCGAGGGCGGGCGGCGTCGGGAAGTTGCGGCTCATCTGCTGCCTCCTCCTCCCCTCGATCCTCCTCCTCCTCCTCCTCCTCTCCTCCTCCTCCTCGATCCTCCTCCTCGTCCTCCTCGATCCTCCTCCCTCCTCCTCCTCCTCCTCCCCCTCCTCCTCCTCCTCGTCCTCCTCGATCCTCCTCCTCCTCCTCCTCGTCCTCCTCGGCCTGCGGCGGCTCGGGGGAGGAATGATAGATCGAGGCTCGACGATTGCGAGGAGGAGGATCGAGGAGGACGAGGAGGAGGAGGAGGAGGAGGAGGAGGAGGATCGAGGAGGAGGAGGAGGAGGAGGAGGAGGAGGATCGAGGAGGAGGAGGAGGAGGAGGAGGAGGAGCGTGAGGAAGAGAGGTAAGGAGGCGGAGGATGAGGAGGATGAGGATGATGGGGATCATGAGGATGATGGGGATCATGAGGATCATGAGGATGATGAGGATGATGAGGATCATGAGGATGAAGAAGAGGTATGGTGTAAGAGGGAGGGCGAAGGGTATTGACGTGGATGAGGAGGAGGACGACGACGGCGATGGCGAGATGCTCGACGGTGACGCCGAAGGCGCAGGCGGATTAGGAGCAGGAGCACGCGCGAACACTCTTAGGAGCCACCTTGGCTCCAAATTGCTGTGTGGCGGTACCTTACCCTGTTTAGGGTTAAGAGGAGCTTGCGCTAAGACAATTGACCCAGTGCGACCCTACCTAGAAGTTGGAGCCCCTAGGAAAGCAGCATTAGTTGCTATGTTATGCTATGCTATGCTATGCCATGCTATGCTGCGCCATGCTATGCTGCGATATGCTATGCTACGCTATGGTATGATAGGCAATGCTATGCTATGCTGCGCTATGCTATGCTATGCTATGATAAGCTATGCTAAGCTATGCTATGGGATGCTGCGCTGTGATATGCTAAGCTATGCTATGCTATGCTATGATAAGCTGCGCTATGATATGTTATGCTATGGTATGATATGCTATGATATGACATGCTATGCTATGCTAGGCTGCGCTATGCTATGATATGCTATGTTATGCTATGTTTGGCTATAGTATGCTATGCTATGTTCTGCTAATGCAGCACTGCGCAATGCTATGCTAAACCAAGCTAAGCTAACCCTCTAGGCAGAGCCTAGGTAGGAAATCACACCCATGTTAATTACCCGATAAGATGAAGCTAAGCTGAGCTAAGATGAAACAAGCTAAGCTAAGATGAGATAAGCAACGCTAAACTAAGGGGACGTAACTGGGGGAACCGCGGGGCGGATGCCGGGGGAACCGCCCAGGGCGATTTCCACTGCCCGGCCCGTTTTTGCCCATGGAGTAAGAACCCTTCTAGGCAGAGCCTAGGTAGGGAATAAACTTCACTCCAAGCGTTTCCTTAAACAATAGCTCAGGTGCAGACATACGGGCACTTTACAAAACAAAAAAAGGAAGCTCCAATTCTCGATCCCCTTGGGCGAAATCTGGAGTCCATGGAAATTGCTGATTTTCCTCAAAAGCTCTGATGTGTACCCATGAAAAACAACATCAAACTTTCATGGGCTCCAGACTTCGCTGCAGAACAATCAGGAATCTGGACTGGAACCTGGGCGCTTTCTTGGAGCTCTTGATGTTACGTGGAACTTCCGTAGACCTGGACCTGGGCCACCCTTTTAAGAAAACGCTTCGAGCGAAGTCACCTGTCTTAGCTTGACATTTGCTTCACCCTGCGCAGGGGTGTAACCCAGACATCCGGCCGCTCCGGTCTTTCCGATGCGTGGGCCCTGGAAGTCTGGACCACTTCCCCGGGACCGGTTCCTCGTCCTGAGCCGTTTTTGACGACGACGGCGACGACGACGACAACGACGACGACGACCACGACGGAAACGACGACGACGACGACGACGACGACGACGACGACGACGGCGACGGCCCCGAGGCCCGACGAGGGCCCCCAGCGGCCGAGCACGGCCAGAAGCCCGTCGCTCCGAGCTTTCGGAGCGCCGGATCTCTGGCGATACTGCGCGCTGGAAGGGGCCCAATTGACACACAAGTAAACACACACAGATAAAAGTATGCTCCATAGTTTCCCATATCTTCTGGGTGTTTGTCTTCCCCCCCACTGCCCACACTTTCCCACATTTTCCGGGGGCCCGACGATGAATCGTGTCTGTGGGTTCCTTCCCTCCTGAGCAGCGGGAGGGCGCAGGCGGGGCGAGGAGGGCGCGCTCGGTGGCCTGAGCTGACCGGGCGGCGTCCAGCATCAGTTGAGCAGGGACCGACCGTCCCGGCATTCCTACAGGCCCACCACGACATGTTCTCAGAACCCAAACATGTTCGAAGAACCAAGTCAAGGCTCTTAGAACAAGAACAAGGCTCTGAGACAGGTTCCCAGAACAGCTCGTGGAAATCGCAGAAGGTTCTTGGAACATTGATTGATAGGCCTATGGGCACGCCAGGACGCTTCGCCACTGTTTGAACTACAGTGGAAACGTATAGGAAGGACGCGAGGTAAGGACGCAAGACCCTTGGAGGCCGACGTTGGGTTCTTTGGGGCGGGGGGCGGTTAGTGAAAACGGCGAAGGACGGGCCGCAGAGGCAAGGACTCAAGGGCACCCAAGAGGAGGGCGCGCGTCCTTGCTAGGCGCGTTGACTGTAGAGGCCTCCCAGATGGGGCCCGAGCACGGTCGGACCTCGGACAGAAACACGCCCTCCAAAGAGTATGGGAGCCGCCGTGGCCTGAGCTGTCCCCGGGCGGCGTTCCGCGCTCGAGGGCTCCCAGGCGGGGTCCGAGCAGGCGGGGAGACCTCTCCGAGGGGCTCCGAGCAGCTGGGGTCCTCCAGGGGGAAGCGGCCTTTGGTGCTCGAGCGGTGGGAATTGTCAACAACCCTACCGATCATCGAAGAGCGCGGCCGCTGGCAGCGGAGGGGAGGTGGGATCCGAGGACGGAGCGAAGGAGAAGGGCTCCTCCATCCTTCGAGGCCGCCTGGAGAGGAGCCCCGAGTGGGCAGGCGGAGCCCTCCCTCCATCACTGGAGGCCTCCCAGATGGGGCCCGAGTCGATCGGGTCCCCCAGCAATGGAGGCCTCCCAGATGGGGTCCCAGGACACACAAATAAATACACACAAATAAAAATATTCCCAATAATTTCCAATATTTCCTGGGCTTCTGTCTTCCCCCCACTTCCCATATTTTCCCATATTTTCCTGGGAGTCGACGATTACTTGTGTCTGTTTGTTCTTTTCCCTCCTGACAGATGGGGTCCCCGAGCACGGTCGGGCCGGGACAGAGGAGCACCACTCGAGGACACGAGGCCCTCGGCCAGCCCACACACGAGGCCCTCCGCCGGCCCAGGTGGGGGCCGAGCAGCTGGGGCGGCCTCCCAGATCGAGGGGGTCCGAGCAGAGTGGGGTCCTTCCTCACCGGAGGCCTCCCGGATGGGGCCCGGGTCGATAGGGCCCTCCATAGCAGGGGACCTCCCAGATGGGGTCCGAGCAGGTCGGGTCCTTCCTCATTAGAGGCCTCCTAGATGGGTCTGAGTCGATCGGTCCTCCATCATGTGGGGCCTCCCTGATAGGGGTCCGAGCAGATCGGGCCCTTCCTCATTGGAGGCCTCCCAGATGGGTCCGAGTCGATCGGGTCCTCCATCATGTGGGGCCTCCCTGATAGGGTCCGAGTGCGGTCGGACCCAGGACAGACGAACACCATTCGAGAACATCAGACCCCCGTCTCAAGGCTCCCGAACTTGGACTCCCCTAGACGGTCCCGCGGGGGTTAGTCCCGCGGACGTGGGTCCACCCTCCTGGGCGGGTGTCCAGGCCCCCACCCCCCAGGGGGTGGGTCCACCCGCTCCGCGTGGGGAGAATCCAGGCCCTCGGAGGCGTGAGTCCAGCCCCTCTAGGGGTGGTCGAGGGTGGCCAGCCTCCTTTTTCGGGCCCCTGGGCCACGACCGCAGAAATCGGCACCCATGCTTAGAGTTAAGAAGCGTTTAGGCTAAGTAA